TTTTTTTTAATCTTCGTCTTCTGCACTTTATATATAATATTTCACTTCACTCTACCGTTCTCTCCGTTGTTGTTGGGTTTTTTTGTGGGCTTTTTTGCTTGCTTTGTATTGGGTTACGTATAATGCCTAGGCGTGGTAAGCGGAAGCTCTCTGAAATTGGTTCATCTTCTTCTGTAACAGTTGATGGTTTTGTGCGCAAGTCTTCCCGTCGACAACAATTTAATGCTCCTTTGTTGCATGTGCTCTATGATTGTGGTGACTGTAATTGTGTTTGTGAATTTTGTGGTGCGTTTTTTTGGGATGTTGAAAGGAGTGTTGCTCATTCTACTGTTAGTCGACCGGTGTATAGTCAATGTTGTAGACACGGTTCTGTTATTCTTCCCTATCCATTGATTCCGCCTGCTGAAATTCGTAACTTGTATATGGATAGTCGTTTTATGGTTGACATTAGGGCATATAATAGCATGTTTTCAATGACTTCTTTAGGAGCTTATATGGACAATGAAATCAATAAAGGTCGTGGTCCGTATGTATTTAACATTTCTGGTCAGATTTATCATTGGATTGGTTCCCTTTGTCCACAGGATGCCAATGAGCCTAGGTTTTTACAGCTATACGTATATGACACTGATAATGAGGTTATGAATAGGTTAAAGGCTTTTGTTTCTCCTAATAAAAGGAACTTAAATGCTGGTATTATTCGTTGTCTTATGGAATGTTTGACAACTCACAATGAATAAGTCCGTACTTTTAAGACGGCTACAGAAATTGCGGCTGGTTTGAACTTGGAATCATGCTCGGTTCGTTTGTACAATGAAGTTCCTGATCGTAGGTATGGTGTACTGCTGGTACTCTCGGATGTATTATTATTGGTGACGATTCCAGTGGTGCAAAGTATGATATCATTATTCATTCAAAGTCTAGTCTCCCTCAGCGTGTTAGTAAACTACACCCAAGTGATATGCATCTTCATTATCCTTTGCTTTTTCCATATGGGGAAGAAGGTTGGTTCCCGCGTTTGAAGCTGCGTAATGAAACGGGTCCTGCTGCGAGAAACCTATCAGTCAACATGTACTATAGTTATCTAATTCATGCACGTCAACACATATTCTCACTCATATTAGAAGGTGGTCGTCTTTTCCAACAATATATTGTTGATGCTTACACTTGCATTGAAGAAGAACGTCTAGATTTTATCTTGCACCATCAAGATCAGCTCCGATCTGATTATGTTTCTGGCCTTTACGATGCGCTTTCAAAATGAGACAGAGATAGTCGTGTAGTAGGAAAACGTGTCTTTCTGCCTGCATCGTTTATAGGTGGTCCCCGTTATATGTATAGTCACTATCAAGACGCACTGTCTATTTGTAGAGTTTATGGGAACCCACAGTATTTCATTACTTTTACATGTAATGTGAAATGGCCTGAGATAAGTCGGTATATGGATAGTCATGGTCAACAAGATGTTCATAGTAGAGCTGATGTGATTGCTAGAGTCTTTGAAATCAAGGTTGATGCTTTTATGAAGTTTCTTAAGGAAGATAAAACATTTGGTGAAGTACAAGCATGTATGTTACTTTCATTATATTTTCTTAAATGGTTTTTTTTATTATGCTGATCATTTTTGCCTTTGACTAACTGTTTTATATGGATTTGCAGCTCTATATACAATTGAGTTCCAAAAAAGAGGTCTTCCGCATTGCCATACACTGTTATGGGTAATCAACACAGATAAAATTAAAGAGCCTTCTGACATTGACAAGTATATAACTACAGAGTTGCCTGATCGAGTTTTAGAACCATTACTATACAACATTGTGACCACATGTATGATTCATGGCCCTTGTGGACCTTTAAACAAAGATGCCCCCTGTATGAAAGAGGAAAAATGTAGTAAGCACTTTCCAAAACCTTTCCAAGATCACACAATCTTTGACAAAGAAGGGTATGCACACTACAAACGAAGTTTTATTGCACATGCCAACTGGGATAGTTGTTGACAATAGATATGTTGTTCCTTATAACAAGAGGTTGTGTTCTCGATTTGGGGCGTACATAAATGTTGAATATTATGGCTGGAATATGATGGTGAAATATCTTTTTAAGTACATTTCTAAAGGTGTAGAGCGTGTGCGGTTTGTCATCCAAAGAAGTGAAACCACTGATGGAAGTAGTACAAGCACATCAACTCCAACTATAAATGAGATACAAAGGTTCCTTGATGGGCGGTATATCTGTCCATATGAGGCAGCGTGGAGAATTCTGAATTTTGACATTCATCGGCGTCGACCACCTGTTTTTATATTACATGTACACCTCCCTCATATGTAGCATGTTATATTTAGAGAGGACAGAAAGATAGATCAGGTGCTTTCTAATCCATGTTTTGCTAGAACACCTCTTATTGGGTGGTTCGATAGTAATGCAAGAGATCCCAAAGGTCGTCATCTAACTTATATAGACTACCCAAATGATTATAAGTGGGATACTCAATTTAAGGAATGGATCACCTAGAGTTTATGAGTCTTCTAAGGCTATAGGGAGGCTTGTATTTGTCCATCCCTCTTCTGGTGAACTCTTCTATCTTCGAACACTGTTGTGTCATCAGAAAGGCTGCATGTCCTATGAGGATGTGCGTACAGTTTCTGACCGTGTTTATCCAACCTTTCGAAACGCATGCAACGCTTTGGGGTTGATAGGTGATGATGTCGAATGGATGACCGCTTTTAATGAAGCATCAACATGGGCAACTTCTTCTCAATTACGGTCACTCTTTTGTTAGCTATTACTTTTCTGTGAGGTCAGCAGTCCGGAGTCATTATGGGATGTTGCACAGAAGAAAATGACAGATGATTATATACATAAAATGAACCTTCAATTTCCAGACAAACACTTTCACATAGGTGACAATATCATTCAGCATCAGTTGCTTTTTGACTTAGAAAACATACTCCAAGCTTCTACACCTTCTAAGTCTTTGGCTGATTTCAAATTACCCATGCCATGTCTTGATTCGGTTAGTATGTTACAGAACCGTCTTCTGGTAGAAGAGACAATTTATGATAGAGAAGCTTTAAAAATACAACATTTAGTTATGTTATCTCAGTTAAATAAGGATCATATGGCTGTTTATGAAACCGTTATTAACTCAGAACAACACAAAAAACAGATTCTACTTTTCGTTTACGGACACGGTGGAACTGGAAAAATGTTTTTGTGGACTACTTTACTTTGCCATTTCAGATCACTCGGGAAAATTGTACTTGCGGTAGCTGCCTTTGGAAAGCATCGCTTCTGCTGCTTCCATCAGGAAGAACAGCCATTCAAGATTTTAAAATCAAGATTAACACTTCCAGACGAACATGATTACTTGTTGACTCCTTCACTGCCATGCCATATGAAAACAGAAATAATTTACACATCAACTCCACCCAAATGACTCAAAAACAAGACTCCATACTACAGGAAGAACAGTCAACATTGCAATGTGTTACAAAAAACACATTAACAAAAAAAAACAATATTAGATTAGGTAAACTCTAAAAACAAACAAAAAGAAATCACACACGTGAACCAAAAAAGTACTGTGTTTGATGCATTTGCAGATCAGACGCTTAATACTATTGATTAGGAGAAAAAAATCATGTGACATCAAAAGAATACATACTTGCAGAGCTTTTAAACAAACATCAATAATTATATGGGACGAAGCACCAATGAGTGACCGCCGTTGTTTTGAGTATGTAGATCGTTCCTTACGTGATGTTCTTGATTGTGATTCACTCCCATTTGGTGGGATTTCAGTTCTTCTTGGGGGAGACTTTCATCAGACACTGCCAGTTTCACCGAAAAGTACATGAGCTGCTATCATCTCCTTAACCTTACCAAATTCATACCTGTGGTCGTCTTTTCAGGTTTTCATGCTAAATGAAAACATGTGATTAGTTGCTTCAAAACCTCAGCCTAGTAATAGTTTGTCAACATCTGTTTTTGCTGATTGGATACTAAATATTCGTAATGGAAACCTAGGTGAACCTGATACAGAAGATCCTCAAAGTACACGTTGGGTACAAATTCCAGATTCGTTGTTAATACCCCCACAAGAGAATTCTTTGCAATATCTCATACAGTTTGTATATGGTGATAGAGTGTTACATTTATCTATCCCCTGCTGATCTGTCAGTTAGAGCAATTGTTTGCCTTACTAATGAAGTTGCTGACAAAATTAATGACCTTATACTAGAAATGACAAATGGTGATCCAAAAGTTTATCGAAGCATCGATGGTATGCAACCAAATGGAAAGCATACATCAGAATTGGAGGGGTTATATCCAATAGAATACCTAAATCAGTTACACTTTACAGGCTAAACCACCCCACTCTCTAGGCTAAAAACTCAATACACCTATAATTCTACTTAGAAATCTAAATCAGAGGGATGGTATGTGCAATGGCACACGGTTAATTGTTTCCCAATTACTTCCGATCATTATTGAGGCAACTATCATCACATGAACGTCTATTGGAAAAAGAGTTTATATACCTCGCATAAAGTTCATTCACAGGCCACCAGATCTACCTTTTTTCATTCTCACGCAAACAATTTCCAATTAAAGTATGCTACGCTATGACCATAAACAAAAGCCAGGGACAATCACTAAGAAAGATTGGAGTTTATTTGTCCCAGCCAGTATTCACACATGGTCAACTTTATGTTGCGTTATCTAGGGCAACATCTGCTGATTCCATCAAAATCCTTATAGACACAAATCAACACAATAAACATAATCTAACAAAAAATGTTGTCTTTAGAGATTTATTGCACAGAGTACAAACAAATGAGGTCTATCTTTTCATTAACCTACATCTGTTCTTTACTTGTCATACAGAAATACTTATAAATATTATATATTTTATATGTCTATAACATGCCAAAAAATAAAATGCCATTACTAATAACCTCTCCCCTGTTTATTCCAGCAGAAATACCAGTGAAGAAATGGCAACCATATCAGAACTAAAATATGCTTGTGCTGGAGAGAAATTACAGGTTCGGATCTTACGTAAATGGAAACCACAACCCCGGCACCATGAAACTTGGTACCTTGCTGTAGACAAATTTGTAAGTGATCATAATATACAATATTAACCCCATATCGCCTTTCTTATCATCTATTTAAATCCCATTGTAAAAATGTCTCAGGGAGATGCTATACAGATATTGGGACAAAGAACAAACCAGGAGTATATAGAAGCTGTTCTTGCTGTGTCCAGATGCTATACAATATCAGAATACACATGTCCACGGCTAGATCAATATCAGAAAGTTCTGGAAAACGAAATCTATATAGATGTTGGCATTGCTTCCATCATTGACCCAATACCAGATACAACCATCCTCCCTACAAATTGGTTTCACTTTCTTTCAAAAACAGAACTCATCAACTTAGGAGACCAACCGCCATATTAACCAGGTCTATATACAAAACAGTTGTCCCTACATTAAATATCCATTAAAACTATTTTTGATTGTTAAATAACATGTAATCTCTTATCTATACATTACATAACTATATGTTATTTACTTTCTATATACATATTTTATTGGTGTCATCACAAAAATCAGAGACTGCAAAAAGCACAATGGTGAAGCCTTTGTTCTTTTGATACTTGCTGACGAAAGGTATATAAAACACAATCAGATCGTTCTTTATTTCATGTAATTATACACTACTAACTACACTTTTATACACAAACATTAGTGGAAATGAAGTTGTAATCAACCTATGGAAAGAATGTATTGCCTCTCCTGAAAAGTTCAGTCGTGATCGCCTAATACCACCACCTGCAACTACAGTTGCTGCAGTCACAAATCTAAAAATTTCATCCTCAGACGGTAACAACAAACTTCATATTATAAATATAAAATATAAATATTTATAATAGGTTTTCACGCGTATGAAAATAATAAAACATCTTTTGTATATCCCTTACTGCAGGAATATTAAGATTTGGCTCATCAAGTGCAACCCATGCGTATGTTAACCCACCAGTTCCAAAAACAACACAGCTTATAAATTGGTAAATAACAATTTAAACATATTCTAACACTTTATCTAAAAATCATGTTTTCTTCTTATATAATAACAATCTGCAGCTTCAATGGACCTTCAAGGCCCACTTGTGCCCTATCTGGAATTCCAACAACCATAAACAACATTGCTGGGAAAACTCGTGACCAGCTTCTGGTAGTATACATTTTCATACTATTTTTCCATACTAAACATAAACAAAATCATAAACTTCTTTTTCTGATGTCTACAAGAGAAAACATTTACAATAAAAGCATTACTCACAGAAATCTCATTCAAAGACTACTGGTGCCAAGTAACATGTCCTGTTTGCAAAGATTCAATTTTTGAAAAAGGAACAAGTTGGTTTTGCAGTGCTCATGGAACGGTCCACCAACCAATTTTCTTGTAAGTAAAGTCTGTTTTTTTCTAACCAAAAAACAACTAATAACAGTAACTAATTAAACAAATATGAGTATAGTTACAAACTCAACGCAACCATAACAGATCCAACTGGTACCATTACTGCAACTATGACTGATACCACAGCTCGGAAACTAATCGGAGCAACTCCAGAAAAGGTTCTATCTGATGCCACTAAAAATAACAGAAGCAATTTACACTGCATCATCAGTAACTACAAAGGAACAACACAAACCATGTCAATTCAGATGCTAAGAACATCAACCTCTGACAACATTCGGTTTCTGATTCTAGACATGCAAGCAACTAATACCCTCACCCAATAAACAATTCCAACAACTCCAATACCTCCAACAGGCACTAAGACTGTTAACATTAGTCACACTGGTACACCATTACCAATAACTTCCGAACCATCTCATACATCAAGAACTTTGTCATACACCAGTACAGGTATACACTTATCTTTTTCTATTAACAAAAAAAACATTAACACTTATTACTGTCTTTTTATTGTACAGATGGACCTTCACATACGAAGAAGCAAAAAGAAGCATATAGTTCATCATAAACACTAACAGCATCTAAGGAAAAAACTACTGCCTACTACTTTTTGTATGTTACAAAACAGGAAGCATTTCATATAAAAGGCGTTTATTACTGTAACTTATAGACATATCAACACCTAAAAAGAATACTCTCTTTTTTGATAATGTTATATGTGAAATAGCTTTAGTACTTATCTAATGACCATATAAACAGTTTCACTACATGCTTATCTTTGCTTTCGATAGTAGAAAAATTGTAGTTACTATGTAATGAACAGCTTCTATTTTACTTATCAATGACATTATCAAAATCAAAACTACGAATTACCGAAGTCTTCTACCCCCGCAACGCGGGGGACCTTTCCTAGTTTTCTTTTAAATGTGGTCCACATCAGCAAATATATATATATATATATATATATATATATATATTCTAATTATTCATAGTTAATAATTATTAAATTAACAATTATATATTTATTTACTATTTAAATAAATAATATTAATCAAAATACGTATAAATAGATAATAATATATAATGGATCAAATTAGAAAGAAAAAGATAACGTGAAACAAGAACGTCATATACAAATTATCAAGATAAAAATTAGTTCAAGACCATTAGTAAAGTATAAGTTAATTGATTTTGAAGAAATATTCACATGAGATAAGTAAATTGATTAACCAGATAAAAACAATAAAAAAATATTAATTATATATATACTTAATTGTGGGGAGTCTTATCTACAGTAACTTTTTTGGTTTTTTTATTTTGGCCACCTTACTTTTTTTACGTTTCCTTTCTTCGACTTAAAGTTGTCTTTCATATAGAATTGTTCTTTTCAACAGGTCTTCTTGATATTTTTTTACACTTTGCCATATTATTTTCATTTGTTTTTCAGTCGGTTGCTCTCTCCACCGCCTCTCCCACCTGATCAGATAATCAGATGTTGCACCGCCATGGACATAAGTCATTATCTTTCTCCCTCCATTAAATCGCAATTAAATATCGACGACCCTTCACTTATTCCCCTATTCCACTAGCAACAGATATCACTGCCTCAATACTGCTTCCCTCTCCTTTCAAACTGACGCAACTCTACTCCAACACCTCTACCTTTTCCCCCATACTTAATTGTGGGGAGTCTTATCTACAGTAACTTTTTTGGTTTTTTTATTTTGGCCACCTTACTTTTTTTACGTTCCTTTCTTCGACCTGTCTTTCATATAGAATTGTTCTTTTCAACAGGTCCTTATATTTTTTTTACACTTTGCCATATTGTTTTCATTTGTTTTTCAGTCGGTTGCTCCCTCCACCGCCTCTCCCACCTGATCAGATAATCAGATGTTGCACCGCCATGGACATAAGTCATTATCTTTCTCCCTCCATTAAATCGCAATTAAATATCGACGACCCTTCACTTATTCCCCTATTCCACTGGCAATAGATATCACCGCCTCAATACTGCTTCCCTCTCCTTTCAAACTGACGCAACTCTACTCCAACACCTCTACCTTTTCCCCCAATATAGGTGACTTCCTAGGATGAATATGCTTCGGTTGACGTTTTTCTGACTCTGTGTCCGTCGGCTTTTTATTTAGCAAGGTCAAAGAAATGGTGAAGGAGAAACCGACGAGTACTTTTGGAGCACGGTGGGTTGATTTCCCCCTGATTTTTAGGGTATGTAGTTCTAAATTATTGGTTCCTTTATGAGTATTTTATAGCTCAATTTTAATGTTCTTAGGAAGCAGGACTCGGATGGATTTGCAGGCACCACGATTATAGCTCAATTTCAGCACTCATCGTTGTGTAACACCGCCTCCATCACTTTTGTATCACTGGCGAACCCTTCCGTCCCTTCATGTCTTCTCCGGTAAGTGTGATTACAAAACGAATTTAACTGATTTCTGTGTATGAATTAATAGTAAGTTGATAAATCGTTATTATTCTGCTTAGTAACTTTTTTGTTGATTTGAGTGTGAATTTTTTTATATGTATGTGTGAATTGTTTATTAGAATACAAATTTTATCTTTTTTCTGCTATTTCATTTATGCAGAAAACAAAACCAACACAACATACTTTTTGGGGGATTAATGAACTTTGGAATTGAAGTATGCAGATTTGATGATTTGTTTTGCACACCATATGTTCGATAAAATGCTTGAAACAAAAATGGATATTTCTTTTTCATTAAAGCCCATGTACGTGAGAAAAGCATAAACAATACTTATCTATATTGCGAAAAATCAGTAATGGAATTGAGTAATTATATGTAACCAACACTAACCTGATGATCCAGAAACCACAGTCCGCCATGTGGAGATTTAGTTGGGAGGCGGAATTCAGTCATCTGCTTACTGTTGTAAATACATTCTTATATAGGAAGGAACACTTATGATTTAACCCATCTAAAGTGAAAGCAAGGTATGCCTTTCTTTTCCCTTTTAAGAGTAGAGTTAATGCTTTTTCGTTTCTTCACATTTTTTGTAAATACATTACATATGAAATTTTTTAGTTGTACAATGAGTTAGACAGGTTTTGTGATGCTGGTATTTATGGTATTATTCATGTAAAATCATGATGACTAACTTCTCTTAATTATAACAATTCCTTATGACATTGATGTATAGATTTACACTCTCTGTATGTGTGATTTACACTTTCTCTCTATGTATGTGTACGCATATGGAATTTTTGTTTGCCTAAATGTTTTGTTAATATTATAATGTATTTGTTATATTTGCCTAAATGACTGTAAATGCTACTTAGATTTTGATTGTCATGTTTATCCATATTTGTTTTCTAATAAAAAACGATTTTCTTTTGTGATGTTACTTGCCACATGTATGGGCAGATGAGAATTTTACATGTTATTGGTTAAAATTTTCAATGTACTCATTTGTTTTGTGACAGTTAGATTTGAGTTCTTAGGAAACTTTGAGAACATTAGCTGGATAATGCTTCACCAAGCTGTCGAATAGGCATTAGCCTCCATCAAATGAGTTAAATCTTATAGCTAATAATGATATATTGATATCAAAAGAAAAAAAAATCCTAACTGTTAACTATGTTGAAAAGGAAGTCTGTGGTCTTTTCTTATATTCCTAATTGGTCTAATGCCATCTTTTTTTTTTATTACCTGAGGGTATTCTTCAAACTCTCACCTAATGTTTATATTAGCAAAGTTTGTGGAAGAAAATGTATCCATAGACATGAATCTTTATCAAATTGTGAGAAAGTATACTTTTTATGCAACAATTTTTTATAGAAATGTTCATTTTGATTGTTTTTTGAACCTTGATTTCGGAGTTTTGGGATTGGATCTTGAAACAATTCTCAGGAGAAATCGAAAGCATTGACAGGGTAAGAAAAATTCAAAGACATGGACATGAATCTACCATTATCTCAAACAATTCAAAGTAATTAATAGTTTAATACCTTTAAATATTTATTTGTTTTGTCTCTATCAACTTATCTTTATAATTTCCAAAATATACTTCAAAGTTGTTTATTTCTTACGCGGGATTGTAACTTGGTAACAAAAAAGATGCTTGCCTTCCGTATTAGCTCTGCCATCGTAACAAGCCTCGATTGTGAGTATTTCTAGATTATTTACTATAATTCAGTAATTTTAAAGATAAAAAACATTTGTGTTTTTAACAAACTGTAAAATATGTTTTGTGTCATATTAGCTTAAAGGATTCTTAATGCGGGTGACAGCACATGATCTTCCCGTTGAATCAACCTTACCGATGAATTACATCTGTTGTTATATCCCAGGTAAATCCTATATCACATATGACAGTTTTGTTAAGTATAGATGTCCACAGAAAAGGTTACTTATTCTATTAAGACTTTTTTTATGTATAATTGTTATGAGAAAGGCACTTGGATGAGGAACAACAAATTGAGATGAATTGGATAAAAAACCAAATCGAACCGAATCATGTGAAGATGGGTAACAAAGGTTCGGTTCAAGGGTAACCGCTAAATTTAAAAAAATCAGAAAATAGGAAGTGGAAGTGCAAGCAGCCAATCAGATGGTTTAATCAATGATAATGGCACGTGTGGTCCTGCTGATAAGCATATTTCTTAATATATTCCTCATTTTTTTTATAAAAGGAATTATGTTATGCATATGACTTCTTAATATATTCCTCCTTTTTTTTATAAAAGGAATTATGTTATGCATATGACCATGTCATGTTGAAGGTTTATTACCTCAAACAACCTTCAGATCACAAATGATATTTTTTGCAACCTACATAGATCAAAGCTACTTCTAAGCAAAAACCAAATCTTTGCAAAAAAATTTATGACCATTTTAACCTTTTGATGGTGGTTATGTTCATTTGATAAAGACAAAGGATCAGGTAACAACAACAGAAGTAGTTGGCTCTACAATGGTTGCATGTAATGCTTTGAAGTTGGACAACACTATAATTTTTAAAGGTGTTGTATCAAAAATAAAAAACGGCTGACATGGAACTTTTTACTTGATTTTTTTTAAGGAGTGATGTAAAGCACATATGCTGCTCAGCTTAGAAATCGCATTGTACTCTGGATGGAATTGCTATAATTAGATGGATATTAAAGTAAAATGTCATGATAAGAAGAGATGAAAGTGGAAAGCTATAATAAACAAATAGGTGAAGGTATGTTGTTGTTTCTTATATTCACTATTTCAAATTTAAGGTAAATGCTAAAAACAAATTCATTAAGAAGAAGTGAAAGTAAAATGCCATAGTAAATAAGTCAACAAAAGTATCATTTAATCCCTTTAAACTTTTCAGGAAATCTACCAAACGTAAACTGTCATTTGCTCCGGGTTTTATGGAAAACTTCATAATGAACTGCATTTTTAACTTTGTGACATGAAAGGCACGAACTCATTTGGCATATAATTGTGGCCGACGTGGCCTTACAAATGATTTGCAAGCCACGGATGGAGGTGGTCTAAGGACATGTAAAATTGTAAACATTGCTTTTAAACTTCTAATAAAAAATTAATAAATAAAATGTTATTAAAATAAATGATTTGCAAGCCACGGATGTAGGTGGTCTAAGGACATGTAAAATCGTAAACATTGCTTTCAAACTTCTAATAAAAATATAATAAATAAAATTATTAATAAAATGTGTTGTTGAATATTTTTATTATTATTCATGTGTTAGTTGAATGAAAAACAAACTTCTTAATGAGTGGCGATCACTGGCATTATATGTGCGATGTTATCTTTATGGTTTTGATAATCAAAGTTGTTGGTGTATACACTAATTTGATAATCAAAGTTGTTATTTTAAAGTTTTCGGTATTTGTGTTCAAGCAATTGGTCCATTCTTTTCCAGTTGAATAATTATTTATCCGATTCCATATGATCCTTACTGTGGTAATAGAGTTGTATGTATCGTTATTCACATCATACTCAAATTGCATCTCACAATTGATATCCCCTGGGGGGAAACTACTATTCAACAATAAATCTCACAAAATTGAGAATAATCTCAATCGGTTTTTGTTACATGCCCATAGACTCGCGCCAGCATACCAGAGACTCCTCATTGATCATAGAATTGCATAAGTCTGTCATGACACCTCAAAAACGCCTTTCAAATATCACAATTGTTAGAATAACATGGAAACCAAAGGATTGATATGTTGCTACCATCGCATAGCCATGTCACTACCAATAGGTCGTTGGAAATAGTGTTCAAGGTTATTAACTGTTTGATAATATTTCTAATAACAGTAGTGTCATTTTGGATTGGCCTCATAACTCAATTAGCTATAAGAAAATGGAGATAAATAAGTTATTAGTTTATTAAATAATTAATAAACTAATTTGGAAATTATTTTGGAATTAATTAAAAATTTTAGTTAATTAAAAAACTTGAATATTAATTAGATCCTAGTGATTAATTTGGAGAGTTGCATGGGACGGTTCTGCTTATCCCTAGATAGGGAGAAGACAGTTTTTGAATAAGGTAAGGATAAACCCTAAGAGTTTGAATCCCTTAAGGATTTATCTGCTACCTATAAATAGACTATTAAGGATCAAACCCTAGTTGATGATTTCCTTCTCTAAAACCGTCTACCTTTGTCTCCCTCTCTCCTTCTGCAAAAATTATAGCACCTCGCCTAGGGTTATAGAATTTTCGTAAAACCCTAAACTACGGTTAATACTTATTAGTTTTTGGAGTTTTGAGTTTGACTACATTAGAGAGATTCTACTTTGGGTCATTCATCCATTGCAAGAGTTGGGTAGTTACGAGATCACAATCAAATAAATAAGAGATTAGTATTATATATATTAGTTCGATTTTTAAAGTAGGTTGCTATAACTAGTAAAAGCTATATCCTACTAGGTTATGTTTTTGTTTCTACTGTCTTGATCATGTGTATAGATGCATAGAAACCCCAACAGTGATATCAGAGCAATTAGGTTTTAGTTGTTTGCACTTCTTAAAAAAATCAAACTTTAGATCTACGATAAACGTGACGCGTCCACCTACTCGACGCGGGGCGTCCGGTCGTTTTTCAGTTTTTCCAATTTTTAAAAAATCTGGGGATAAACCACTTGATTAAAATATTATTTTAATTGTTTAAATCTGAATATTCAAATCCTAGATTTATGATTATTTAATAAGAATTTGAATTTGAATATTTAATTAATTAAATTTAAATATTATTTAAACATGAATTTAACATTTGAATATTTATTTTGAATGTTAGTTAATAAGAGAATTAAATTAGAATATTTAAAAGAAAAGAATATAAATTTAAAAGGTTAAATTTTGTATATGGTATGATTATTATATGCATAATAATCATATAACACGTGTCTTCACATGTTTAATTAAAACATTATCGTCAAACCAAGACTAGGTTCACGCATTCTAATGCTTTAAGAAAGGTTTAAAGAGGTCTTTATGATTTCTAACGAGGTTGGTTTTTAAAAGCCTATTGCTTACCACCCGCACATCCTTTTTGCATTTTGAGAATGGATTTACCGAAAGGGTTTGATTAGATGATATTCAAGATTAAAAGTATTAATCAAAGTAATAAAACAAAATTCCCATTTTATATTAAAAAACGTGAGTCATGTGCTACCCATGAAAACACACATTTTATTTATAATTTGATGATGGAGTGTGTGTCGTTAACCGACACATGATTGTGAAATTATAAGTTAAAATTATGTGTCACTCATAAAATTATTTTGTTAAAGGAGCATATATGGTTAACCGACATGTCAATGTGAGAATAATTGAATCGAGGGTCATGCGGTTTTGCATGGTTGATTTGTCATCTATTCTATGATCTGCGGTATCCCCCATCATAGAATCGAGACGGCCATAATCTAAGATTAGCATGTCATTGAATGTCAATGAATCTCAAATGATCTAGGAGTTTCAAATAGATTGAAACTAGTAAAGTGCATTGCCTACCTAAACAACTTTGTGGTATGTTTACGACATCCCGTTATGCATCGCGAAGCCAAATATGGATCTTAGCCTTAATTAATAATTCATTTAGGGTTAAAATTTTATTTTAAGGATGAACTCAAAACTAACTAAAATTTCTTCTTGTAGATGTCGAATGAGAAAACAACAACCTTCATCCTCCTCCTCCACCTCACTCCAACTTCTCACTCGTATTAGTCCTTTCAAGGGAGAAACTTACAGGTTAAAATTATTTGGACTGGATTTGTACCTTTAGGATCAGCTTGAGGTACGAGAGCAAAGAGTGTGTTATCGATCAAGATCTCCCTGGATTATAACTCCTTTGAAGAGGAAGTGGTTGCTTATAATAAGCATTATGATGAATCAACGAAAGTTGTTTGTCTAATATTGGTGACCTTGTCTTCCGAGCTCCAAGAGAGCTTCAAGAGCCTTAGGTCATTCGACATTAACGAGCATCTCAACGAAATGTTCCATCAGAAAGCTAGGAAAGAAAAGTTTGAGATCGTTAAATCATTGATGACTTGTAAACATCAAGATGGGAATTATGTATGTGTGCACGTTCAGAAAATGAAGTCGTACATTGGGAGATTGGGGAACTTGGGTGTTGATTTTCCAAAGGAGTTGGTCATTGCTAACGTTACAATATGCGGCCACGTTAAACTTAACGGAAAGCACTAACGGGGCGTTATCTAGCCAGGACCATGGTCGGGACCCAGTCTTGGCCCAAGTAGGCCAGCGTTGAGCTGGTGGCCCGCCTCCCCTCATAGGGATCGAATATTCCTCATAATCTTTTCATTCTCTCGCAACCAATCAAGTCATGACAAGGAGCCTGGTGACGCCCAGAACTTACGTCACCTGGCAGTTAGTTATCGTGGGCATACTCCTCCCAATAAGAGAGTGTCACGTCTCAATCCCACATGGGAGAGTCATTTCATTCCGTTAGAAACAAGTATAAAGGATCTATTCCGGCTCAAGGAAGGGATCCATCTTCTTCCTCACACCCGGTCGTCCTTTAACGATTCTTCTGTGTTGTGTTCTCAGGTAAACTTTCGGTACAGATCCATCATCCAGCTTCCAATCCCCTGCTGAACATGTCACAACATTTGGCGCCATCCGGACATATCCTCAGAGTGATACAGCCAATAAACGACGCTGTTTCTCTGCAAAAGGGGGATCTAAAACGAACAGCATATGCGACTGCAGTAGAAGATTTGTTCAGAATACCGGTGACGGTAAACAACGACCACCACCGCGAGTATAAAACACATGCCCCAATCCATGTGCTAATGGCACAGATCCCACCGATTACGACAGAAATAGCAGAGCCAATACTCTAGAGCAGTTTTCAACAACTGTTGTTGAAAGGTTCGTTGCCTCAGACGAACGATACCGCATCCCGATCTGCTGCAGGAACCTCCGTATGACGGCATCAAGGTACTCACTATCTCTAACTTTTGTAAGAGAAACGCAACTCACCAAGCGGAGGACGAGATAGAGGTACTCTCGAGAAATCTACTCAATATTAGTTTTTCAAGCAACGATCCCAGACCATTGAACTGGGACCCGCGAGACCCACTCCTCATATCTGGATTCATTCGTCATACGACAATCCATCGAATATACATCAACAATGGTAGTTGCTCCGACATACTCTATGATCATTGTTTCAAGCAACTACTAGAAGCATTAAAGGAGGGGCTAAGGCCCCCAACCGGAGGACTGCTAGTAGGGTTCACCGGAGATAATTTGTGGCCATTGGGCACTATCCGGCTACCCCTAACGTTGGTTAGCCATGACGAAAGGGATAGAATCACAAGAACAATTGAATTCTCTGTGATCCGGTTTTCAGCATAACATAATATTCTGCTTGGCCGGTCGGCAATCTCTCTACTACAGTTCGTGCCATCAACGATACACATCATAGTTAAATTTAGCACAAGCCAGGGATCAACGACAATCATCGCCACAACCACCAGGGCGCAGCACTGCCACCAGATCATAGTTGCTCCCGAGTTGGTGCGAGCACCAAAGAAGTCGAAGGAGGGATATTCCACCGAACAAACCAGATAAACATGGAATATCCAGAACAACTCATGCGAATTGGCACTCACCTATCAGGAGAGACCAAGGCACGACTAGTAGCGCTCTTGAAGCAATATTCCACCGTTTTCGCCTGGAAGCCAACAGATCTAACAGGCGTAGACTGACAGGTTATAGAACACAATCTTAATATCACGCCTAGAAGCAATCATGTTAAACAAAAGAAGAGAGGCCAGGCGGAAGATCGGAACAAGGCTATAAATGCAGAAGTCGCCGACCTCGTAAGTGCCAGCATACTCAGGGAAGTAATGTTCCCGACATGGATAGAAAATCCTGTTATGGTAAAGAAAGCCAATGGATCATGGAGAATGTGCATTGATTACTCAGATCTTAATAACGTATGTCCAAAGGATTGTTATTCTCTCCAGGAGATCGATCAAAAAGTCCAGTCGCTTGAAGGTTTTCAGTTTAAATGCTTCCTCGACGCATACAAAGGTTATCATCAGGTACAGATGAAACGAGAGGACGAGGCGAAAACAGCCTTCCATACCGTGAAGGGCA